GCTGCCAAAGCACTTTTCTTAAAAAGGCAAAATTGAAGGACTCACACTTTGTAACTAGAAAAATTTATGCAAACTTACAGTAATCAATGTTAATACTGGCATAATGACATACAGATTAACAGATTAGAACACAGTGAACAGAAATAAAACCCTTATGTGATTCTGACAATTATAAAAGAACTGATTTTAGACAAAAAAAATGTCAGGACAGCTGAATAAAAAGAATAGTCTTCTAAACAAATGTTTCTGGGACAAATGAATATAGTATCATGCAAAGAATGAACTGGAACTTTACCTCACACCACTGCAAAAAATTACTTGAAAATGGAATGCAGCTCTAAATATGAGCTTATATACTTACACCTAAACTGAACTTTAGGTATACCCTTATACTTGGAAGAAAACATTAAAAAAAAATCTTTTGAGACTGTACACTAGAGGCAGTAATTTCTAAAATATGAAACCAAAGCCCAAGTTATCAATAAAATAAATACATAATTGGACTTCACAAAATTAAAAACCTTTACCCAGAACAGGTAAATCTTTACAGACAGAAAGATTGATTTCTGGTTTCCAGGATGCAGGAAGGGAAGGGTAGAAAGAGAAATGACTGCAATGACGAAGATGTTCTGCAATGTGATAGAAGCAGCAGCTGTATAACACTGGATGTACTGAATTCCACTCCACTATATATTTTTAAATGTTTAATTTTATGTGATGTCAAATTCACCTAACAAAAAAACTTTTTAAACTCTTGTTACAGAAAGAACACCATCACAAAAGAGAAAACACAACCTATCAAGGAGAAAATATTTGCAAAACATAATTTGATAAGGGACTTACATATAGAATGTACAATTTCTATAAATAAAAAATTAAGACAAAGAATCTGAACAGAAATTTCTTCAAAGATGATATACAAATGGTCATTAAACACAAATATGTTCATCATCATTAGCTATTAAGAAAATGCAAATCAAAACCACAACGAAGTATTACTTCAACTCCACTAAGATGGCTAAAATCAGAAAGACAACAGTTGACAAGGATGAGAAGAAACTGCAACTCTCATACATTGATGGAAATATAAAAAGGTACAGGTACTTTGGAAAACAGCTTGACAGTTCCTCAAAATGTTATACTATAAATTACCATGTGACCTAGCAATT